GCTCTGATTAGTGGTACTACGGCTCTGATTAGTGGTACTACGGGTCTCATTAGTGGTACTACAGCTCTGATTAGTGGTACTACAGCTCTGATTAGCGGTACTACGGCTCTGATTAGCGGTACTACGGCTCTGATTAGTGGTACTATGGCTCTGATTAGTGGTACTACAGCTGATTAGCGGTACTACGGCTCTGATTAGTGGTACTACAGCTCTGATTAATGGTACTATGGCTGATTAGCGGTACTACGGCTCTGATTAATGGTACTACGGCTCTGATTAGCGGTACTACGGCTCTGATTAGCGGTACTACGGCTCTGATTAGCGGTACTACGGCTCTGATTCTCATTCTATGCCTCCCTGCTGTAACTGTGTTTCCACAGATGTTTAGTTGTTCACCAATCTTCCTGTCTCCTTTTCTATATCCTAATCAGATTTTTCACTTCCTCTGGCAGTTATTTCAACTATTACAGCGAGACTAATTGGAAATCTCCTTGTGTTTCAATGATCGAGGGTTGTCAGTGGTCACAGGTGTGTTATTTCCATTGCACTAAGTAGTCGTGTAGCTTTTCTGAAGTGTTTGTTTTTAACTGTAAGGGATAAAATTCTCCTTGTCCATCTAGAAATACTGACGTTAGACTGGGGGTGAGACTGCTCACGAGCCAGACCTGCTCATCTCAGATCGAAATACTTCCTGGGGAGGATTTTAAAGACTGTATGAAAGATGCCGTGACGTCACCCGTTGGTTTCTGCACTGAGAACATGAAGCCAGGGTTTTGCTACTTCCTGGTTGACATCTTGGATTTTTGGAGCCAGTGACGCAAAAATCGTGGGAGGGGGGCGGAGCCATAGGAGCAGCGATTGGTCAGACGGATTGAGAGGCGGGCCCTCTCTGTCTGTATGGTCGCTGCTGACTGTCAATCAAGCCAGCCACGCCCCTTGCCCCGCAAAATGTTGACGATGTTTTAAAAATTCAGTATTGATTTATTTTCAGATTGGCCACCTGATCTCTGGATTTGACCATGAAAACTAATAAGAAAACAATCCTGAGCTGCAGGAATGCAGTATTTCATGATCTGTGATCACTTCTTTTCCAGTTCCAGTCTATGGGAGCCAGGGCTTTGTGGAGCCAGCAGCTAGCGGACGTAGGTTTGTGACACTTCCGGGTTGGCTTCATTTTTCAGGGCCGGTTGCTACGTCCATCTTTTATACAGTCTATGGTGTGGACGAGTGCTCTGAGGAAGATGACAGCAGTATACACAGGCTGGTTCAACATCTCCAGGGGCTGCAAGTCCTGGTTCCCACCACTGATCCTTACTAGAGACGCAGTGCCCGTCCTAACATACACAGATTTAATTGACCTGAGTGGAAACACACCTGTTGTTGACATGTGGGGAGGATCTGTGTGCCTCTGTCTGTCCACACTTTGGACCCCAGTGGGTGGTCCACCGTGGCAGCCTCTGGTGGGCCACCCTGTGAACCCCAGTCCAGTGGGTGGTCCACCATGGTGTTGGTCTTCAGTAGAGAGAACTTCTCTGGAGACTCTAATTTGTACCTAATGGAGATGATTCAGATGTGTCAAACATTACATAACATGCTGAAGTCCTATGTTCGTGACATGCCTTCCTGCCGCCCCCCGCCTTCCGTGGCCAGATTGAATCTGACGTTTAGAGGCCAAGCAACGGAGGGATCGACAGATTAGTGACTCCCTCCCTCCCTCCTCCCTCCCTCTCTCTCCCTCTCTCTCCATCCTCTCTCTCTCTCTTTCTGCTCTTTTGCTGGATGACAGGCGGCGGCGGTGGATCGGCTCGTTGCTGCGGTCGGACCGGGAGTTTTCCTCTTTTGTTTTTGTCCTCCGGTGCGCTCCTGACCGGGGAGGAATCTGGAGCCGATCATGGGGTCATCCTCAGCATCACCTTCAGCATCAGCAGCAGCAGCATCAGCACCACACTTTACTTTGTTCTGCGGCGCGCCGGATCACGAGGAGAGCGCACTAAAATAAAATAAAAAAAGAACAACTCCGTGGGCTTTGTCGTCGTTTTGCATCGCGGGAAACTTTTCTTTCCCCCCTCTTTTTAAAACATATATATTATTCATCATACAGCGCGTGGAATGGAGATCCCAACTTTCCTGCTGTCGAGTCTCGCGCTGCTCTTCGTCGGAGGTGATATCTTCACCAGGTAAGACCAGATCCCTGCCATCTCACTTCTTATTATTCCGCTGAAGCCTCTAAAAATGCTGAATAAAAAGTTGCCATAAATTTAGAGTCAAATCAGGTAATCGGTAAAACCTTCTAATACCTCTGCATGGATGGTTAAATATGACGATTAATTTCACTTTTACAACATTAAATTCATCTATTTGTTTAAAAAAGAAAAACAGCATCCAGCTTAATTCTTCCTCCTCCACCTCCCACCACTTGATCTCATCCACGTTAACGCACAGAACGCGTAAATCTGGTTAAATTGAATTTCTGTGCTGAACCTCTCCTCCTCCACACCGTCAAGTCAGGTTTCTTCTTTGTTTTCCCTCCGGCACATGAACCCGGTGACACTATTTGCATAATGCATATGCATATGCAGAGGTGATTGTTTTCTCTCTCTTTTTTTTTTAAATAACGGAGATGAATAGCAGGTGAGTGGGTGTGTTTTTGTGTCACCCACCTCCAGGCCTGTTCAATAGGGGTCAAATACATCAGATGGTGCCACGTGGATCAGGAGGAGGAGGAGGGCTGCATTTACAAGACAAAATGCATTTAAATAGAGCAGCATGCAAGAGCAGGAGAGTGTGTAGGTGTGATCACATAGACGGCATAAACAGGTAAATAAATCAGGACAGGATTTCGTGTGACTACTCGTTAAAAACGAACCCGTCCGATGTGAGATTTTCCGCCAGCGTTAACTGGAAATAATCTTTTTACACAGATTTCTTGGTAACATTTTGCCACCACGTAGTTTAAACTTTAGATTTTCAGCAGAGGCCTCCGTTCATGTGCGTGCTTTCGAAATCCCTTCATGCTCTCGTCCATAAGCTTCCACAAGCCTCCAATTCGTATTATAACCAGCAGCTAGCACTGAGCCTCGATTCCCCAAAGCCACATACTGGCAAGTGCTTCCACTGAAAAGGGCAAAGGGTGAAGCTACTTAAGCTTTTGGGTAAAATTTGGGCAAATCGCTCCCATTGTCCCTCTTGGCTGTTCACCAGCAGAGGGAGTAATAGCTGTTGTAATTGGATTTTCCTGCCTCTAGCCACTGCTGTTATTATTATTTTGTTCTCAGTACAATGCAGAGTGTAGGCTTTTTCTTGCACCTCATTATGTGTCAGCTCTCTCTCTCTGGCTCACACACACACACACACACACACACACACACACACACACGTTGCTGTTCTGCCGTCGGTGGTTGAAAGTTGCTTTCTTCTCCATCTGAGCAGAATTACTCTGATTCTCTTTTTAGCTCCTCATTTATCCGTTTCACAAAAAGTTGCTTAGCTAAGTTGTGCCTCGCCACCTTTGGTGTTGCGTGAATTTCACAGTTTTTCTTTCCAGCTGAAGTGTGACTTACCCTTAACTTTACTGAACACAACCCGCATGTGGCTGACGGTGTGATATATCTGCAGCAGAGACAGACTGGGCCGTAGAAAGGCAGCAGCCTCTCAGATCCGCCGCTTGGTCGTCATTTGGTCACGAGGAAAACGTACATGACTGTGACCCAACCCCGTGATGTGTTCCCTAAGTGTTCCCTGTGTCGCCCAGGTCTGACATATTACAGCTTAAATCTCCGTTGTTGTTCAAAACAGTTCGTGTTTTCTCCTTTATGAGTCACGAACACGCCAACTGTTTCAGGGAATGACGTCTTAGGAAATAAAACGGACCAAGCTTCCCAGCTAACCATCCATCCATCATCTCTACACCTTCATCCTCACTTGGGGGCTGGAGTCTATCCCAGCTGACTCAGGGTGAAGGCAGGTTCACCTGGACAGGTAACCAGTCTATCACAGGGCTACACTTAGAGACAGACAACCAAGCACACTCACATTCACACCTACGGACAATTTACAATCACCAATTAACCTCAGCATGTTTGTGGACTGTGGGAGGAAGCCGGAGAACCCGGAGAGAACCCACGCTGCACGGGGAGAACATGGAGACTCCACGCAGGAAGATCCCGGGTGTCCTCACCGGGATGCCGACCGGCGACCTTCTAGCTGTGAGGCGATGGTGCTAACCACTGAGCCACCTTCTCAACCACTGCACCCTGACAACTCAAGAACTGACTGTATAATGAATCCAAAAACTGAAACTTTTGCAGCAACAAAATGCGGTAAACTTCCACGATGAGACTGTTAGCAGAACGCAGCGTACCTGCCGTGAACCCGACAGGTTCTGTTCCTGTGTGGGAGGCTCTGAGGGCACCGTGTGGCGCTGGAAGCTTCACGCTCAGAATGCAGACAAATAAAACGGCGGACAGGAAATAAACTGCACGAGAAAACAGCTGCTGCCACACTTTGTTTTTCTGTTAGAAAAATGACTTAAAGACAATCAGACTACAGCTCAGGTGGCTCATATCGTAACACTGACTCCATTTTGGTGCTTTTTTGTAAATCACGTCAAAACATCATTGAAAGGCAGCAAAAGACAAAAAAGGCCCCAACACTGTGATCGGCTTCGTCGTGTTTATTCATTTATTTTAACATTCTTCTCTTAAACTGACAATAAAACACACAAATCAAAACGTATTCTCATTAAATGAGCTCGTTAATAACCTTGTTGACGACACACACTTCCTTCGGTGCTTCACGAGTTTGGGAAGCAGCAGAAGTGTTGAATCGGCACTGTTCGTGTAATTGCTTTTGATTCGGCTCCGATTGCAGCAGATACGTCACCAGTGAGGCTCTTATCTGGTCCCAACGAACAGGGACATCAAAACGACGAGCAGCAGATGAAACGTCACTTTTCAGACGCGTTAATAACGGAGAGCGTCGGGTTTTGACTCTACGAGCTGCAGCGCTGTGCTAAGTGTGGTTACTGGCAGCTCAGTGGACGTGGAGGAAAGATGTTGTATCTGAAAGAACCGGGACGGAGAATGTGAAGGAAATCCAGATGAAATACTCTGATTAGAAAAATGAGGATGGATCAGAATAATCTAGTGGGGTCTGGGTTGTAAAACACATGCACGGAAATACTAAAAAAAACACAATTACGTCATTATTTTGGTAACACGATGACACGACAGCTCCTGTGAACCTCGTTGGAACAAGATCACCACCGGGGTAAAGCTGACCCTAAAGTGTGCTTGGGTCCAAACCTGCAGGCTTTAAGTCTCGGTTCTGTAGACTCTCAGCGGCCCAAAGGCACCAGTTAAATCCTGGTGAAGTGCACCGAGAGTGTGAGGAGCTTGTCTGGCACCAGCATGTCGAATGCTGGTAGTTTAATGACGTTTTACTGACCAGATATCTTCTAGGAAATATGTAAATAGATCTTGTTTAAGCTTCTCAGGAGCACAGAGGAGGTCGGAGCGCCCTTCGCGTCCACGTGGACGCACAAGAGAGGTCAACAAAATATTATAGTTTAGCAGGACGCGGCAGCAAGATGTGATGGATTTAATCTGAACGTTTCGTGATCCTTCTGCTCTGTCACGCTCGTCCTTAAACCTGTTCTCAGGTGACACGGCTCTCCTGACTAATCTGTGTGAGAGGCTGAGTCAGCGGACGAATCCCTCCCGCTGTCCCCACAACACATTTCCCAATAACACAGTGATTCCATCACGTTCCCGCGGCTGCATGGACCGGCTCTAAAACCGACTCTGTGCTTCGGCGGCTCCACTGAAAGCCTTCAGATTAATTTAAGGTAACATGTTAAACAGGAAGAGTCATTTATTTGCATCATTAAATATGCCTTCAGTTTCAAATCTTAACTCTTGTTGTGTAAATACATCTTAATTCATTTGTGTGGGAAGTGCTCTTTTTAATTTAAAAACAAATAACATCTCTAAATATAAAAATACAGAGAGAAAATGTACAATTTCTCGTTTAAGTTTAAGATTAAAAAAAAGGAATTGCTCAGTGAAAATATCGACTCTAGTTTTACATTTAGATTATGTAATATGTTAATAACTTTTGACCAGTTCAGCAGCATATGAAGCCCTGTGAGTGTCCTGAAGGCTCCGTAGTCGTGTGTTCGCACTCACGACTTCCAAATGTTTAAATAGCTGTGAACACGAGAGCATCAAAACATTTCCTATGTGCTCGGCAGCTTCCATCTGCGTAGCGGCACGATGTCTGTACTGTGTGATGAAAGGTGCTCAGTGACTATTCAAATTGGGAGACGTTCTGTCTTTAGGCTTTTAAAAATAGCCCAGAATCTTCAGTGACCTGAACACGAGCCCGGCAGCGTTTTCCACTCTGCTAAGGACAGACCTGTTATAGTTCTAGCAGCAGCTCTTCACACCACCATCAGCCAGCATCACTGTTTTTATCGAGCGGGGAGAGAGACCTTGTGTTCAGAAACAGCTCTGACTACAGCATGAGGGTCACACTTCTAAACCGTTACAGCGTCCTTGAGCAAAACAATGAATTCCTCCCAGCTGTTTTGTAATCGACCTCCGACCTCCCTGTCGAGGAACAAACACAACGCAGGGCATTTAAGGATGTCCCAATCAAGTTTCTTTGCTCCCCATATGATCTGAGTCATTTAGTATTTTATCCAATACTATAGTTAATATATATGACAAGTATTGTAGGCTAGCTGTAGTACCTGGTTGCACCACTAGGGGAAACCTCTTACTGTTTAATACTGTAGAGACCAGAGGAGGCAGGAAGCTCCATTTTGGCAAACAGAGGACCTTGTAGGGTGCTGCAAGGTGGAGCAGTGGTTAGCATCAATGGTTCGCAGCTAGAAGGTCGCCGGTTGGTGTCCCGGTGAGGAAACCCGGGATCTTCCTGCGTGGAGTCTCCATGTTGTCCTCGTGCAGCGTGGGTTCTCTCCGGGTTCTCTGGATAGACTCCAGCCCCCCATGACCCTAGTGAGGATTAAGCGGTGTATAGATGATGGATGGATGGACCTTGTGGGAGTTTGGCTAGTCGAGGGGCACCATGACAAACTCTCCTCAGACAGTCAATGACCTCTGATGTGCTCAGTGGCATACAGGACATACAGGACATCTGTCTCTGTATCACATGT